CTCAGGATCAGAGAGAGAAGAGTCCCTCCAACTCTTGCACAACAGATCTCCTCTTACTGGGGCCACCCCCGGGAGTTCAGTCTGCTCAAAGCCTGGTCACCTCCCTCTGGGAGCAGAGACATGGGGCGTTGATCCTTCAATGTCCCCAGGGCCCTGGGAGGCCGCTGTGCACTGGGATGTAACTCTTTCTGTAGGTGGCTACAGTGACTGATACTGAGCAATTTCACACAGTCCCATTTGCATAAAACGTCCCCATAATGCACAGCATTGTGCCTTTTCTGCAAAGAAAGAGAAAAAAATGCATTCACAAAGGGCCTCACAAAGATGGGAAAATGGATGTTAACATTTCTGCCTGACTGATAATCTCTGACGTTACCCTGGGGAAGGCCCAGCTTTCAGGGTGATTTATGCATCGGGATTTGGAGCTTTTCACTCCCATAAATGGGTTATCTGGTGAAGGCGGCAGTGGGGAGTGGAAGGAGAGTCAGCGCTGGAAGCAAAATGAGGAGAGTCTGATGTTTTCTGGGAGTTTTGTTTCTGATTTCCGAGGCGAAGTTTTTGTTGGAAACAAAATACAAAGGGACAAAGACAATGGACTCGTTTGTTTGCTCATCTGTTTGTTGGGTTGCTCTTTACAAGCCCATTTTCTCCCCCTCACTTCCAAACTCTGAACTTGAACTCCCTGGCCCGCAGGGGCGAAGCTGAGGGTGAGGGTGTCCGAGTTGCCCTGTGATATCTGTGGGTTAATCTCTTTGATGGACAGAAGCCTCGGAGCGTCCTTGTTGGAGAGTCCACGAGCAGGTATCTTGCCAGGAGGCCAGCGCACAGTCTGTTTTGGAGCACAGCATGGGAGGGAATCCACGTGGCTGGACCTGCAGAGCTCGTCCTGATTGCAGAACCCAGGGACTGCCGAAGCAGTCAGCTGCTGTCATTGCACTCGCGCGTTTGAAGAGCTCACAGTCTCGCCAGGGTGCCTGTGTGCATCTGCAGACTGTCTGTATATGGAATAGATTTCCTTCTGTTTGCTCCTCGAAATCCCCATTGTTCTGGGGTAAATACCAAACGGAAGGCCGAAAGTTGTGACTTAAGGGTGCCAATCAGTGATTTCAGCAATCGCGCTTACTTGCAGCCATTCCTGGGTTGGTGGAGCTCTATGGGGTCTTCCTCCTGTAGACGAAGGTACACAGGTAAGTGTGTGGGGCCGGCATTGACACAGGTGCTCTGCAAGGGTAGCAAGTGGGTTCTTCTCCCCTTGGATTTCAAATGTAAGGGACGGAGGAAAATGTATCAAAACAATAGACTTTAAGTCCATTTTTGATTAGGTACCAAGGGAGCAGACGAAATAGTAATATTCACTGAGCGTGGTATCTAAGACGATCTGAGCCAAGAGGAATCACAGCTTGATGGTTACGACAGTAGAAGAGGCTTCTGTCAAACATCACATTAGTAGATAAGACTTCTGTGCCTCCACCAACGACACTCCCCAACCTCGCGGTTTTCCCACACATGAAATGTTTCTCTCCAGTAGGAAAGAAAAGTGATGGAAAAGACCTCTATTAGAGAAATGTGGCACCTAATTCAATCAAGGAAGGAGACGCTTTCAGGGACTCCTGGACACCCCTTGTGATGGCAATTGCTGCAGCCTCTCTTCTGAGTTCCCCCGACAGTGCCTTAGGACAACGCTCTGGCACAGAAAAGAATCAGAAATCTCTGTTGCAAGAAGTGCAATCGCAAGGGGCTTTGCGTTGACAGCAGCTGACAAGACTTTAATGACCACATTGAAAATCAATGGCAAACACACTTTTCAACATCAGGGAGTTGTGATGGCTTCTCCTTGACGGACAGCCAGGGAGGAATGTGTCACTACTCGTACGTCACCTAGTGCTGGTTTATGTCCTTCTTCATAGGCCAACAATATACTTTTACACCTCCCTCGGCCTCCCCTCTGCCAACTCTCTAAAGAGGAGAGTGAGTTTAATTTTATTTATTATCATATGTCTTGAAGGATAATTCAGATGCATCACTTTGAGGTCTAAAAAGGGTGCCTACTCAAGAGGAGGCAAATGAAAGAGGAGTCAAATATGCATCAGAAAGCTGTTCCCTTGTACCAATTAAGGCCCTCAGCTAACAGAGTGGGGCATGCCTTTCACATTTCTTCCTCCACACTTAAATTAATGGGAGACATCAGTTACCATTGTGTGTGTGTGTGCCACAACATATCAGCATTTTTAAAAAATAATAATGAGAATTTAGAACTGGCTTCATGATCTTTTTAAACATGTTCTCTTAATCACCCACAGGGTTCCTAGAAATGGAACTCATAATACTACATTTTTTTGATTGCATCCTATAAGACTGCTGTTTTGCAGGACAAAAACTACTGATTACTGGCAATTTCATAAGGATCAACCAAATAGTTCAGCTAAAAGCTGTGTGATTTCAGGAGCTCTGTAAAGGATCCATGATCTTAAACCACATGTAACTGAGACCAGGAGGGGAGGAAGCAGTTGAACCTCTTGGAGGTAGGAGTTCCTGTGATCTCAGGACCTACAGGATATGAGTTTGGTTCCCCTTGCTCTGGAGGTAAACAGACCCCCTGCCTGGACCAGCCTCACAGCAGTTGAGAGAGCCAAGGCTGACTCGGATTGACGGTGCTCATCAGAATGCATGCGACACACAACTGCGTGAAAAGAAACGATGGCAGTATTTTGGGAAATCTCACCTACTTCCCAGAACAACCATGAACATCCCTCCCTCTATCAGAATGCACCTCCCATTTATTAGAAGGTAGCTTCTCTTTCATTAAGTGACCCATACGATATTAAATACAGTTTGGAGATGGGGCCACTCGCTCTGAGCAGGTCCACTGTCTATGGGGTGTAAATCTTTGCTTTCTCAATAAAGTGCTTGCTGCTCCTTGACTTGCTCCTGAAGTCCTTGTTGTAAAGTCAAAGACCTGGGTACGGGAAGCCTTTGCTGTCTGGCACTTGTTCCATAACTTTAACAGTAATTCCATAATGATGATGATGATGATGATAGTAAATAAAACATAAATTAAAAATGGAGAAGAGCAGTGCATATTTCAATTGGAACTACAGTGTAAATGACCAGCATCAGAGTCATTGCTTCCAACTAAATGAAGCAAGCAGGTAGCAGTTTCTAGGCAGTGAAAGGGGGGGGTCGAGGGCAGTTGCAAAGGAGCAGGTAAAGGGAGGCCCCGCCCCCTGCCGAGTCCCTGGCACTGTTTGGCCACACTGTGATCCTTCTCTTTCTGAAAGGTCATCGTCCCATGTTGTAGTCAGTGCACTGGCTGAGGTCCTCTCTCACTCTGCTGCGGGCAGACTGCCCTATTTTTCATCCAAATTTGGGACCTTGAGGTGTGATTGGTCTTATGTGGCCTTTTGCATTAAGACTGAGAGATGGGGGTTGGTGTTGTGGCACAGTGGATTAAGCCCCCACCTGTAATTCTGGCATCCCATATGAGGACTCGTTCAAGTCCCAGCTGCTCCACTTCCAATCCAGTTCCCCACTAATGCACCTGGGAAGGCAGTGGAATGTGGTCCAAGTACTTGGGTCCCTGCCTCCCCTGAGGAAGACCCAGATGGAGTTCCTGGCTCCTGGCTCTGGCATGGTCCAGTTATCAGCTTTTGTAGCTATTTAGGGGAGTAAATGAGTGGATGGAGGATTTCTCTGTCTCCGTCTCTCTCTCTCTCTCTCTCCCCTTACCTCTCTCTCTCTCTCTCTCCCCTTACCTCTCTCTCCTCTCTCTAACTCATTTTTCAAACAAATAAATAAATCTTACATAAAAAAGCTTGTAAGGCTGAATATACAAACATGCAATGGCCAGACCGAAGGTAGGACACTGACCTACAACCTGCAGCAACCTGCCCAAGGAACCAGTACCTTCTCTACAATAACCAGCCTAGAAGCCAGCCCACTTATGTCAGACTTGGGAGAAGCCAGATTGCTATCTCTAGTAATAACCACCAGGGTAACAACTGCCGTAAATCTAGGACTTGACTACCAGCTGGCAGTTTTCCTGAAGTTTGTCCCTGCTTTCAGCTTCAGGCCAACCACCGAAAGCCCAGTGTGATCCCCTGACTAATCCCCCAGGATGCCCTGCTTCTGGTTAGCTTGCCTCCAACTTTCCCAGGCAACAGCCGCCAATCAGGCCATTCCCAAAGCCCTCTCTTATTTCATCATCAAGTTTTCCCACTGCTTTGCCAGCCTTAGGTTGGCAAGGGACGCTGGCTGAGTCTCTCACTAGAGCAGGCTCTGAATAAACAGTCTGGGCTTTTTCTGGTCTGTTTCTTTCCACAAGGTACTGCACCTCCCGCCTATGGTTCTGAATAGCCGTCCCCCATCTCGCCCCACTCCACGGGCTTAAAAATGACCGCCTTCAGAAGCTTCTTTGACGGCTGCCAGCCCTCACTGGCACGGGAGGTCCGGATCCCCTGTGGGACCCCAAAACGGGAGAGGCAGGCGTGCCAGCTGGTTATCACCCGCACAGCTCTCTTGGACGGCTCCCTTCTGACGAGGCTTCTGCGTCATTTTGGAGGGGCCCAAGACGAAGGCAGGGGAAGCAGAGAAATCTCCTTTAACCTTGGGATGTTTCTAAAAATCTTCCTCCCACAAGGCTGGGCTAAAGAAGGTGGAGGGGGAATCCTTGGGAATCCTTTCTGTTTTCCTGCTGTGTTTCCTGGTGATCACAACAAATGGGGTTTGGGCATCTTTCCCCTTGCTGTACCTCTTGTCATGCCACCCTCAGACAATACCTTTCCTAGCCCAGCCATTCCTGGAATCGTGAAGGAAGGTCCCTCTGAGCTGCAAACACACCGGTAGGCGACTAGACGGCCCCACCACCCTAGCCCCGCTCTCAGGCTACCTGACCTGGAACAACCCGCGGTGGCCCCGACTCCAACTCTAGACTCACCGCGAGGCCTGGGCTGTTCTAATAGGTGCCTGAGTGTTGTGATTGGCTGGTACGTGGTCTGCTCTGATTGGCTGGTGCCTCCCCTATTCCGATTGGTTGGTTCATAGACTGCATTGATTGTTGAATACTAGGCATTGTGACCCAGGTTAAACGCTTGCCTTGGACGGTGGCATCCCACGGCAAAGTGCAGGACCGAGTCGTTTCCACTTCAAATTGAGCTGCCTGCTGCTGTGCATACTTGAGTTCCTGCCACCCTTGTGGGAGACCTGGATGGTGTACCTGGCTCCTGGCTTTGGGCTGGGCCAGTCTTTGCTTTCGCAGGTATTTGCCGAGTGAATTAACAGATGAAAGAGCTCTTTCTCTGTCTCATCCTCTTTCTCTGCTAGAATTAATTAATAAAATGAATCATTTACGCCCCTCGCTTACCCCACCTTTCTGTGTCAGGCTGCCGAGGGGGTGGTGAGATCCAGAAATGCAAATGAGAGCGCAGGTCAGTGTGTTGAGAACCGTCAGCCTGCTCGTAAGCGGAACTCCCTTCCGAGGTCGTCGCACACTTGCCATGGATCCAGGTGGAGGGTGTGAGTCTTACCTTCCACTTGCAGTGTGGTGCTTAAGGGCCGTACTCGGGGCGTCGGCCAAGGCTATGCTCATTCCTGTCCGCCATGGACCAGTAGAATAAGCCTGACTCCGTTACGACCTCCCGGCCTCTTAGGGTCCTGACCTTCGAAGCAGAGCCAATGATGCTTGCCTCGGTTGGTGTGGGGATTTAATGAGGCGATGTGTAAAACACACAGTGAGGTCCTTCATGCATTGACAGTAGCTGCTATTGGTATTTTAAAAGCAATGACGTTTCTTCCAACTTTTAAAATTACAACAGAATCCCCTAAAGCTCGGGTCTGGTGTCCCTGAGCGCAATGTCAGCTTTTTTTTAAAAAAAAATTATTTATTTATTTATTTTTGTGATGTCAGTTTTATGGAGTTGAGTTTATCAGAAACTATGTAGTTAACAAGCTTCATGGTCGTGAATAGGAGAGACTGGTTCTGGCCCACAGAAGCAGCAAGGGAGTTTCATGCCTGTCCATGCACTCTCAGTATAGGTGGCATTGTCCAGAGAAGGGGTAAAAATTGGTTTCCGAGGGGCAAAGGAAATCTTAGATATAACAACAATCGGTAGTCCTGGGGTGGACCATGGTACCCAAACAGATGCACTGAATATCTGTGGTATTAAAACCTCACTAGGGCCAGGAGTGGGAATGACGAGAGAATAGAGTCTGAAGCATTGCCTTTGGAGTGCAGACGGGGGTGGGGAGCATGGAAAGATCTGGGGGCACTGGAGGAAGTGGGTAGCACTTAGCGTCTGTGCACAGGTCAAAGCACCAGGCTCAGATGAGGGCACAGCTGGCAGCCGGAAGCTCAGCACAGCCCACGCCACAGACATGGGCTGATGAGGGTGGTGGCATCGTTGCCACTGGCCACTGGGTGCCTCTGGCACTGGGGCAGGAAACCAGTGCCTGTGCTTCTGTTTCACGCACCCCAGCCCCGTCTCCCTAGAGCTCCATATCCCACCACACACATTCACTGTGGATTTCCCCAAGTGCATGCAGATGGCAGCAAGGCAAAATGACAGTGCATGCTCTCTGAGGCCCTGTGGTTCTAGGGACCCAGGCAGCCCCGAGTACAGCACTACCTTTTGTAGCTGTTTGCTCGGTGTCATCGGTTCTGGGGATTGGTTTCCCGTCAGCCCCAGCTGCTGCTATTCTGGGTCAGTGTTTGCTATCTTCACATTTTCAGCAAGTGGCTTTTCACCTTCTAATCTTTGACCTGTCTTCCGTGGGGCAAGTGGAGATGCCACTCATTCCTCTCATGCCTTCTCTTTCCCTCCAGAAGTGTGGATCCTTCACTCCTAAGCCCCTTCTCACTCTGGCCACTCCCTGGGATTCTCTTGACTTACCCTTTCTTCCAATAGTCTTATCATTCTTGGGGCCTCCCTTCATCAAATCTGCCCAGTTTCCCTAGGTGGGAAATCTGTGATCTGTTACATGCAGATTGGGGTGGGGGTAGGGGAGGGGCCAGGCAAGAGCAGAAGTGAGCTGGGTGGCCCTGGCAGAGCCTCAGGACTGAAGAGAGTAAGTCGTGTTATCTGGCATCATTAGTGTGCTTGTATATCGTGTACAGTGCTGTAGGGCTTTACACATGCACATGTAGTCTTTTTTTTTTTTTTTTTTTTGACTGGCAGAGTGGACAGTGAGAGAGAGAGACAGAGAGAAAGGTCTTCCTTTGCCATTGGTTCACCCTCCAATGGCCGCCACGGCTGGCGCACCACGCTGATCCGAAGCCAGGAGCCAGGTGCTTCTCCTGGTCTCCCATGGGGTGCAGGGCCCAAGCACTTGGGCCATCCTCCACTGCACTCCTGGGCCACAGCAGAGAGCTGGCCTGGAAGAGGGGCAACCGGGAAAGAATCCGGCGCCCCGACCGGGACTAGAACCTGGTGTGCTGGCGCCACTAGGTGGAGGATTAGCCTAGTGAGCCGCAGCGCCAGCCACACATGTAGTCTTATGTGACAGTAGCAGCATTGTGATGAGATCTTTGTTATGGTATTCATTTTTCTAACCTGGGACACACATACAGGAAGTACAAACAAGCAGGATTTAAATATTCCAAAGGAGAGTTAGGAAGAATGGACTCTTATTGTACCTTCTGGGACTAACCAAGATCCTCTCTGATTTCAGCCCCACTTGTAACCAGGTACCTCTGTCTTTTGAAGTTGAATGATCTGTGCTAAAGAGCTACGGGCGGCATTCCTCCCCCTGTACTTGGGCTAGCTGGTTTCCATGCAGTATTATTTATATTCATAAAGTTCAGAAACAGTAGAGCCTCTGTCCCCAGCAGCATGAATCACTGCTCTCTCTGTGCTGCCACTGGGCTGCACACAAGCCTCACATCCCTGGCTCACTTAGTAGACGCCAGGTACTGGGCTAAGTGGCTGTTCATGGGAGAGTTCATTTAGCCTGCGCAGCGACGCTCTGACGTAGGTACTGCTATTACCCCGATTGCACGGATGCAGAACCTGAGTCTATTAGTAACTGCAGATCACACAGCTATGAAAGAGGCAGAGCTGGGATTCAGATACCCAGCTGGGTGGCTCCTGTGCCTGAGCTCACCTCTGAACCATGTGGCTGCTTCGCTTGTGAGTTGGCTTCTGTCACTGGCTTCTACACTCTTAAGGACAAGGACCGCGACTTTTGCACCTGAGTCTAGTGCCTAGAATACAGCAGGCTCACACTAAATACTTGCTGGCTGGGTGAATGAACACACTCTGGCGCTTCTGTGAACCGGTTGTCAGCTGTGAGGTGCACACCATCTCTGGAGCTGCTCACTGGGCTGAACAATACCTTGTCTCAGGAGCCCAAGCTCCGATGTCCCGAGGGAAGAGGCTATGTTCTTCGGCCTGGGTGTGGTTGTGGATCCTTCCCTACGTCTTGTTTCGTGCTTCCTCTTCATTGAGGGGAATGCAGGAAACAACGCCAGATTGGCAACATCAAGGAGGAGCTTAATCCTCTTGCTGTTGTATCAGGCTTCCTGCAGTGCTGTGTCCTGTGTGAACATCTGTCCTTGTCTTCAGAGAAGGTGGCTTGTCTCCCAGGGAATGATTTATAGCTGACTTTCAGGTTCACATTCAAGGAGAAGGCAGGGCCCAGACCTGAAAAGGTGGGCAGCACCGACGGGATCCTGACGGATGGGGTTCCCTTCCTTCTACCTCCCCCCAGGGAGTGGGTGCTAACATGGACTGCACATTAGAATCACATGGTATCTGGGGTTCTGGTCATGCTTCCAGAAATTTGGCTTTAACTTTTTCTGGTATGTGACCTGGGAACCTATCTTGGAAAATACAAATTTACATGCATATTAACATGTATATATATTTTAATCTATACATAATTATAAGTATTTACATACACAATTAATCATTTACATTAATTGACACATAATTATAGATTTATATGCATATTTAAGGGATACTGTGATATTTCTTTTTTTTTTTTTACTACAAATCAAATAACAAACATTTTATTTTATTTTATTTTATTTTATTTTATTTTATTTTTATCTTTTATTTAATGAATATAAATTTCCAAAGTACGACTCATGGGTTACAATGGCTTCCCCTCCCCATACCGTCCCTCCCACCAACAACCCTCCCCTTTCCCACTCCCTCTCCCCTTCCATTCACATCAAGATTCATTTTCGATTATCTTAATATACAGAAGATCAGCTTAGTATACCTTAAGTAAGTATTTCAACAGTTTGCTCCCACACAGAAACATAAAGTGAAAAATAATAGATGATTTTTTTAAAATGATGATGAAATCAGATCAGACCTATTGTCATGTTTAATCCCAGTGAGAGTCAAGTTGGGAATTGAAAATTTCTTTCTTTTTTTTTTTTTTTTTTTTTTTTTTTTACAGAAGATCAGTTTAGTGTACATTAAGTAAAGATTTCAGTCGTTTGCACCCCCATAGAAACACAAAGTGAAATATACTGTTTGAGTACTCGTTATAGCATTAAGCCTCAGTGTACAGCACGTTAAGGACCGAGATCCTACATGAGGAGTAAGTGCACAGTGACTCCTGTTGTTGACTTTACCAATTGACACTCCTGTTTATGGCATCAGTAATCTCCCTATGCACCAGTTATGAGTTTCCAAGGCTATGGAAGCCCCTTGAGTTCTCCGACTCTTATCTTGTTTAGACACGGTCATAGTCAAAGTGGAGGTTCTCTCCTCCCTTCAGAGAAAGGCACCTCCCTCTTTGAAGACCTGTTCTTTCCACTGGGATCTCACTCACAGAGATCTTTTTGCCAGAGTGTCTTGGCTTTCCATGCCTGAAATACTCTCATGGGCTTTTCAGCCAGATCCGAGTGCCTTTAGGGCTGATTCTGAGGCCAGAGTGCTATTTAGGACATCCGCCATTCTATGAGTCTGCTGAGTATCTCACTTCCCATGTTGGATCACTCTCCCCTTTATTTATTCTAACGGTTGGTGTTAGCAGATACTAGACTTGTTTATGTGCTCCCTTTGACTCTTAGTCCTTTCATTATGATCAATTGTGAACTGAAATTGATCACTTGGACTAGTGAGATGGCATTGGCACATGCCACCTTGATGGGATACTGTGATATTTCAATATGTCTCTCAAACCACTAATCAGATTAGGGTAATTGGCTTATCTGTCACCTCAGATATTTATCACTTGTGTGTATGTGTTTGTTGAGAACATACAAAATGCTATTACCTAATTTGAAATGTAAGAGTAGAAGTAATTGGGGCTGACACTGTGGCGCAGCAAGTGAAAGCCGGCCTGATGCGCTGGCATCCCATATGGGCGCCGGTTCTAGTCCTGGCTGCTCCTCTTTCGATCCAGCTCTCTGCTGTGGCCTGAGAAAGCAGTAGAAGATGGCCCAAGTGCTTGGGCCCCTGCACCCACGTGGGAGACCTGAAAGAAGCTCCTGGCTCCTGGCTCCAGATTGGCTCAGCTTTGGCAGTTGTGGTCATCTGGGGAGTAAACCAGCAGATAGAAGACCTCTCTCTCCCTCTGTCTCTCCCTCTCTCTGTCCGTAACTGCCTCTCAAATAAATAAATAAATATTAAAAAATTTCTTTCAACTTAATATTCAATTTATTCATTTTTGAGATAACAGACTTTTAATTTACCTGGTAGTCAAAGGCTTACTGGTGCTACTAAATAAAGGGTTCAGCAAATAAAAAGTGCAAAGACCACAGTCCAGCAGGAAGTTAGGCAAGGACTCCACACCGTAATCAAATGGAAAGATGTTCAACTTCTCTCCCATGTTTTTTTTCATATGTGAATTGTCCACATGCACTTTTTCTTTTATTAGCTCTCACCCTTATCCCGTTTTCCTGTTTGAGTTTTTATGTCTGCTATTTTATTATCCTGACCCACAGCACTGTTCCCAAAGGTGAAAATTGTAAGCCAAGTAGAGAAGGAAGGGCTTGTCCTTCCTGTTGTAACGGGGACAGCACTGTTTATAAAAATGGCCGCTCATTCTACCACTGACAGAGGTTGTTGTCAAGAAATAAAGCAATGCTCTCAAATATCATCATGTTTTTAATTTTGATACTGAGTAATTTTAACATCTTCCATTGTCAAGGCTGAATGAATTTATATTGGTCAAAAGTCTAACGCAGACTGATAGAGGGCGTAAGTGTCCCTATCAACGCAATGCAGCATTCCCTAATTCTAACGTGCGTAATGTCCAGATTCTGGTATAGAATCTGCTAGGGATGGTATTCAAAACATAAAAATATGTGATTATAAGCAAAGCAGTATAAAATACATGAATACACTTCAAAGAGTTTATGAAAATGCAATTAAAAGATAAGTGAATTTGAAGCAAAAATATTGAAATCCACATACATGAGATCTGCAAAAAGCTCAAGGATGGTGCGCATTATAAAAATTCTACATGAAGATTTTAAAAGCATTTTGCATCAAAATATACTTTCCTCTTAGCTTGATTTTTTTCATAAACTTTTTGAAGTACTGTTATATTACTCACAGTGTTAAAACTATAGGGTTGATCTATTTTATGGATTCCAGGGACCTCATTTTGATCAATATCCTTGTGTTGATGGCACAGTTGTACCCACCTGCAGGATCATCATCTAAAGCCAAATGTTGCTGATGTCGCAAGAAGGGATTGACAAGTGTTTTAAGGGAGGGGCGTCTTGCTCTGTCTTTAAATATCAGTCTTCCTAGCAAACCACGCTCGTTCCTCCTGAGCCCTGCCCCACCCCAAGGCTTGGCAGAAGCTGAGCCCAGAGAAGTGGTCAGGAATGGGGCTTTGCTGACAGGTTTCGGTGTGGGCAGTCAGCAGGGTCACACGGGGCCATCACCTGAGTGGGCACTGAGGCTATTCCAGGGGTTACACAGTCTCCTTCAGAAGTGTGGTCCACCCTGGATGTCACTTACATGAATCAGAGAAGCCGTGTGGTGGCTCAGCTACGTGGGCGTCCCATGGAAACCAGAAGCAAACATGGGACGTAATCAATCAAGCTCTTCCACCAGAAGCAACTCTGTTAAAGCAGACATCCAAATCCATGCTAATTGCCCATGATTGGTTATTAAATGAATTGGCATTTTAAAAGGGATTATAAAACTTGCAAAGGAACAAAACAACATAGGCCCATGCTGTGCTGAATTTTACATGAACGCCAATTTTCAGCCACCCCAGCAAATCCAAAGGCAGGTGAAACAAAAGAGAAAAATGCTAAATTATATGTAGAAGTTGATTAAAGGCAAAGATGATTAAAAGCAATGCAGGTTAAAGCAAACTGATTTATAAAACACTAAAATGTTTAGAAAAGAAAAATATGCCTTAGGATTGAATACCAACTAAGCTGTAACTGATGTCTGGTTTGCATTACCAGGATGCAGTAGAAAGCTTGCCTGGACTCATCCTGTTAGAATCGAAATCTTTTGGAACTTTGGCCCTTGGATCCTAGAACTGTGGGGTGGTAGAAAAGCTCTGGAATAAAGTTCCTGAGCCTCAAGTTTTTTTAAAGATTTATTTATTTTATCTGAAATACAGAGTTACAGAAAGACTGAGACAGAGAGAGAGAGAAGTCTTCCATCTGCTGATTCACTCCCCAGAGGACAGCAATGGCCGGAGCTTTGCCGATCTGAAGCCAGGAGCCAGGAGCTTCTTCTGGGTCTCCCACGCAGATACAGCGGCCCAAGAACTTGGGTCATCTTCTACTGCTTTCCCAGGCCATAGTTGAGAGCTGGATCGGAAGTGGAGCAGCCAGGTCTTGAACCACCGCCCGTATGGGATGCCGGCATTGCAGGCGGTGGCTTTACCTGTTACACCACAGCTTCGACCTCCTGAGCTTCAATTTTTCAGTGAGATGGTTGACTCAAGTCACATTGTTGTGGTACTGGCAAAGCCACCGTTGTCCTGGCCTCATTAGAACAAATCAATAGCTAATATGTGTTGAGAGATGACGCATGCTCAGCACATACATTCTCTTATTTCATCCTCACAATAAACCACTATCTTGGGTTCGATTAGCTTCTCCCTTTACAACCATAATAAATGAGGCTCAGAGAGGTTAATTAAATTACCCAAATATGTTTTACAAGGTCACAACTAAAAACAAACAAAACCCATTTCTTTGTTTTCCAAAGGCCTTGGCAAACTCAATTATGCTCCTGCGTACCCTGGCTTCCTGCCTCATGTTACCAGTTTCTGAAGACAATGGAGATTCATCCCATTTGTGCAAGCCAGGCAATGTCTATCTTTTCATAGCCCTAAGTACTCTCAGATTACTGTTAATTAAAATTAATTCAGAAGTTCCAGCGTCAGTAATAAGAACAGGTCGTATTTCACAGTTACACTTCGAATGTCATTTTGACAATTAACTCGTCTCCAGTGACCAAGAGTCAGAGCCATTTGAAAACAGTGATTTCAACCCCTTTCTTATTTCCTCTGGGATATCTCACACGTGTTGCAGGGATTTGGATCACGCCTACATTCTGAGAAGATGCATTTGTTTGTGATGTCTAGAGTTTACCAGGTGAAGGAAAGAGTTAAATTAACTCTAGTTGAACAGCAACTTATCCTCATTATGTTGTGGCGAATAGACTGGTGGGACCCTGTGCAGATGAGAAAGAGAATGCGTCGTGACTAATCCCGGCTTTGGCCATTGTTTGGCCACAACACTGACAGGAGCTGCAGCTTCCTATCCAACTGACCCACATGAGTCTGGTTCTCATGGAAACGTGATAAATCAGGATGCGGCCACATGTGGAAGTGCTACGTTTGGCTTTGCACCTGGAATAACAGTGCGCTAATGAGGCTGACGAAACCATCGAAGACCCCCAGCACCAAGGGTGAGTTCAGGGGCTTTCACGCACATCTCAGCATTGCTGTCTGTGAAAGCCGTGGGCTCACGTCGGACTGCTTCCCCATGTCCCAGATGCAAGCTTGTTTGCTTACTGCTTATTTACTTAAGTAATTGATTTCAGTTTCCTTTGGCAATCACTGGAAATCCCTTTTCCTCTGAAAAGCAACTACAGAGACTCAGGTTTTATCTCAAAATTTATTTGTGTATTTATTTTTTAAAGATTTGTTTATTTACTTGAGAAGCAGAGTTACAGACAGAGAGAGGGAGAGAGACAGAGAGAGAGGTCTTCCATCTGTTGGTTCACTCCCCAAATAGCCGCAAAGGCTGGAGTTGGGCCGATCTGAAGCCAGGAGCCAGGAGCCAGGAGCCAGGAGCCAGGAGCCAGGAGCCAGGAGCATCTTCCGGGTCTCCCACGTGGGCTCAGGGACTTGGGTCATCTTCCACTGCTTTCCCAGGCCATGGCAGAGAACTGGATCGGAAGTGGAGCAGCCAGGACTTGAACCAGCTCCCATATGGGATGCCGGTGCCACAGGCGGTTGCTCAAGCTCCTGCGCCACAGTGCCGGCCCCAGGTTATTTTTAAATACAAGGGATTGACACTATGAGACCTACATCTTGAGCCAAGGTTCCAGCTTCCTGCCATTGCAGATCTTGGAGTCAGTGGTCACAATTCAGGTGACTGGGTCCCTGCCACCTCTGTGGGAGATCTGGATCTAGTTTTGGTCCCTGCCCAGCATTGACCATTTGGAGGGCAAAGCAGCAGTTTGAAAATGTCTGTCTCTCAAATAAATAAAAAGTAATTAATCAAAATTTGAAAAATTACCAGGGAATAGGCCAAGTATGGCTACTAAAGATATAGTAACTCAGAACCCTAAAACATGTTTCATTCAACGCTCATTTTTTTTTTTATTTGAGAGGCTGGTTCATTCCTCAAATGCTCACAATGGCCAGAAGTAGGCCAGGCTAAAGCTTTAAGCCTGGCACGCAATCCAGGTCTCCCAGTTGTGTGGCAGGGACCCAACTACTTGAGCCAGCACCACTACCTCCCAGGGTCTGCATTAGCAGGAAGCTGGAATCGGGAGCAAAGCTGAGATTTGAAGCCGGGCACTCTGAAAAAGCACGTGGACGTCTCAGCCTCTGTGTTAACTGCTGCATCAAACGCCCACCCCAGCACTATTCATGTTTTCCCTTTGTTCTGCTTCTTGTTCACAATGTTTAACTAGTGGAGCAATTCTGTTAGTAGAACCAAGCATCATCCTTTTCAGAGAGACCCTGGACGTGCGCATAGGAGCAACAGGAGACAGGTGCTGCGTGGGAACACACTGAAGGTTCTGTGTCTCCCTATAACCCCCCCATGAAGGTCTAGGATCCCAAATACACACTTGACAGCAGTCATCACGTAGTTCAGAGGGGCCGAAGAGACATCCTGGGGAAATAATTGTATATGAGAAATTGCCAACACCTACGCATAAATCAAATATCATTCTAAAGATTCCTGTCATTAATCACTGGGCACGCTCACTCCCATGACCCCTGAGTTGCTTTAACCTGCAGGACACATTCCTGGCTGTGTTCTGAAGACCTTGAACCAGAGCCAGAGACTGTGGGAAATACCCAGCTTCTATCCAGAGAACAGGGGCAGGGCCAGGGTTCCACCCTCTCAGCCCCTGCAAGCCCTGGGAAGTGAGACCCATATGCAGGTTCAGAGTCCAAAGATCCCTCAGTCCTAGCTCAGGCTGCCGCCATGAGATCGGCCTCCAGGGATTCTGCAGTTGGGGATAAGTCCCTGCACGGATGAGACTCAGCATGCTGCCTGAGGAACAGTCTGGAGAACCTCAGCACCATAGGCAGAAGGCGCGATGCCGCTGTGTTTGGAATGGTCTGCCACCGGCAGCCTCTGCTTCCAAGCAGTGTTGGAAGCACAGGCACCTCCAAGAATCCACTTGTTGGCAAGAGCATGAACTCACATCAGGGACAACATGGTGTTAGAATCCCGGTCCAAGAGTTCTGCATCTTGGAGCTCACTGGGTGATTTTAGGTTCTCTTTTCTTTGTCATGCAGTGGAAGAAACACTTCCTTTTGTTAGTAAGAACACCACTGATCTTTCAAGGAATTGTTGCCCTGGTTCCTACCTGTCCATGCCTCTGGCTCTGGGTTTTCACATGACGTTTTCCACCACTGTAAAACTGAGTAAGTCCAGACTTGAACTCAAGACCTGAATCCTGTTAGTCATACAAACCTTGGACTATGACCTCTACCCTAGTTGGCTCCTGGTTGTGTTGTTCTGCCTCCTGGCACACGGTATTATTTTTGTGTACTTTGCTCTCCACCTGGCTTTGATGTCTGCCTGCTGCCCCACCTGTCGTGACCTGGGGCAGGTTTTCACTGGGTTCCACTCCATAGCTGGTAAAGGAGGAAACCCAAGTTTTTTGCACATAATTTATGTTATTTTGCCCAGGTAAAAAACATCACAGTCTAAATACAAATAATAGCAAGTCATTGGAAAATAACTTAAAACTAATTCTATTCACAATAGCATAAAAAAGTAGGAATAAATTTTAAAGACATATCAGTATGATGAAAATCAAAATATGGCTGGGAAAAATTAAATATGGCCTAATAAAAGGAGAAGCATACTGTGTTTATGGTTTGGTAGATTCAATATTGTCAGAATGCCAAGATTCACCATAAGTTCAAGCCAAACTCCAGCTGACTTTTTTTTTTTGGTAGAAATTGACAAGTTGATTTCAAAATGCATGTGGAATTTCAAAAGACCTGAAAAAGACAAAATTATCATGAAGATAAGAGACATATTAGAAGGTTCATATTACCTGACTTTGATAATGAAAAATACATCAAATAATAATTTTTTTTGCGGATAGCTTTGTATAGCAATCTGGAGTGTGTGGTATTGTCACACAGATACAAATAGACCAGTGGGGCAGAATAGAAATCCAGAAACATACCCACATGTTTTGGGCCAATTGATTTTTTCATGTGGTTGAATACACATAATGCAGAACTTAGCACTTTATTTTTTAAGTGTACGGTTCTGGGGCATTAAGTCTATTCGCACCATGTTGCAACCATACCCAACATCCACCTCCATAACGGTTCATCTTCCAGAACTGGAACTCTGAGTCCATTAAACACTAACTTCCCATTAACCTCATTATGTAACCCTTACATCTGATATACACATTAACTTGAAATAGGTTAAATATAGGATATAAACTGCAAAAACTTGTAAAAGCAATCAGGAGAAAACCGTCAGGAGCTAGCGCTGGTGACAAGTTCCTAGATATGAGCACGGAAGCAAGATGTGGAAAGGATTCACTGGAACTAAATATATTTGCTCTGTGAAATACTCTAGTAAGAAGATGAAAATACAAGCTTCAGACTGGGAGAAAACATTCGCAAATCATTAAGGACTCATGTTTAAAAATGCATGAAGAAATCTCAAGTCTGAACAGAAAAAAAAAAAACGAAGAACAGAAAATATGCAGAAGACATAAGAAGCTGTCCATTGAAGAGGGGAAGGAAATATCTACAGATGACAAATAAGCACAGGAAAAAGTGTTGGCCATTAAAAGCCACAAGGCAAATCAGATCATTGTACGTCTATTAGAACAACTAACATAGAAACTGACAATACAGATGCCAGTGAGAGAGCAAACACCCTCAATTTCACATCCATTTTAGTGGGAAAGGAAAATGGTAAAGTCCCTTTGGAAATCATTGTGACTATTTCTTGAGAAACTTAACACAACTGTTAAGTTGTGTTAACCTAACAGTCACTCTGGGCATGTATCCAGGAGAAATGAAAACTGGTCTGCATAAAAACCTGTCCATTGATGTTGATTGCAGCCTTATTTGTATGGCCCCAAACGAGAAATAGCCAAATGCCCTTCAAATAGGTTAAATAAACTGTGGATCATCTCTGCGATGGACCACTAGCAGGGTGGACTAATGATGCCTGCAGACACTTGGATAGCTTCCGAGAGCATCATGCTGAGTGAAAGACCAATTTGAAAAGGTTGTGTAACATATGAGTATGCATAGCCTTTTCAAAATGAAAATTTGTAAAGATGGAGGGTGAATTAGTGCTGGCCAAGGGCTAGGGATGGTGGTGGTGAAGACAGTGGTGGTAGTGGTGATGCTGAAGACAGTGGGGGGTGGGTGTGACCATAAGGGGTAGCTGGAGAGGATCTGTGGGGTGAACAAGTGGTTCTGTGGCTTGATTGTGATGGTGGCTTCCGGAGTCTACACCTGGGGTAAAATGTCATAGACCTATGTATACACACTGTAGCAATGCCAGTTTCTTGGCTTTGGTATTATACTGTAATTACAGAAGATGTGGTCATTGTGAGAAACTAGGTGAAGGATACAAGGATCTCTCTGTACTGTGAATCTCTATTTCCAAGTAAAAATGAAGAACACAAACTTCTTTCCCCAAAACTGAATAATCAAGTCACAAATTAGGAGACAATATTTTTCAATATATTGTAACTTTCAATAATTTGCAATATTGAATTATAAGTAGTTACATTAGTATTTGAATACATTAATATCTTATAAGGGACTAACATCAAGAATAAGTAATGGACTTCCATATACCCACAATAAAGATAAACAATCTGATAAAACGGGCAAGTTATTGAACATTTATTTTATAGAAGATGTGTGGATGATCAATAGCATATAAAAAGATACTTAACATCTCTAGTTGTGGAAGGAAAGGTAAATTAAAAACTAAAAAAGTGATGCCACTTCACACATACCCAAATGGCTAAAATCAGACGTACTGATAATACCAAATGTTGGCTAACATGTGGAACAACTGTAACTCATAAATACTACTGGTAAATGCATTCAATAAGGCAGCCACCTTGGAACCCTCTTTGGCAGCCTTTGGGAAAAAAAGTTAAACTCTTTCATCCAATGATTCCAGCCTTGGGTGGATTTCAAAAAGTTTGTGGAAAATGGGTTTAAAAGATAACTTTCTTTTTTGATGCAAAGAAATTTGAAATCCCCGAATGATTTTTTTCAAAACATTCATTTTCCATGAACATGTTGGAGACCACTCAAAAGACAGGAGAATTGAAAGATGTGATTACAAAAAAGACTGTACTCAAATGTTTATAATGTTTTATACATTACTTCTCCAGACTGGAAATAGCCCACGTGTCCATCTACTATGAAATACACTCAGCAATTAAAAACTATATAATAAATAACAGATGTAATATATATATAAAATCTGATATATGCATATACAGCGGTAGGGATGAATCTCAAAAAGACATTATATTGAGTAAAGTCAGCCAAACACAAATGATTTCATCCATATGAAGTGCTAGACCTGGAAAAGGTAGAAGTCAGAACAGTGGCTGCTCATGCGCGTGTGGGTGGGAAGAGTTTAATGGGTGGGGGGTATGAGGGAATTCCTGGAGTCACAGAAATGTTCTATTTTGATTCTGTTGTTGCTTTTGCAAATGGCTGTGTTTGCCAAGATCTTATCAACTGTATACTTGAAAACGATGAATTTAACTGTATGTGACTTTTAACTTAATATGAAATACACAGGCTCAGGACTTACACCTAGGCAGTCCCA